GAGAGAGAGAGACAGAGAGAGAGAGAGAGAGAGAGAGAGAGAGAGAGAGAGAGAAAAAGAAGGGACGCCTGTACAGTGTATCTCCAAGTAGAATATACCGGATGGAGAAACGGGTTCTATCTTTTTAGATTTTCTTCCTTTATGTCTCCGCTGCAGAAATCGGCTTCACAAAGATGTTGACAAAATGCTGTAGGGTTCAATGGTATGCAAATGACAAAAATCTCTAGGTACACATAGCATAACCCATTTAAAGGCAGTCACAGCAGTGCTGAACATACTAGTGAGAAACATTTTTCATAGTAGCCTTCTGAATTTATGAATAATTTCAACATCATTGAAATAAATGCACTGCAAAAGAAAAGCTAAACAAAACAAAAAAAAAAAACATAAGCTGTGTTCTTTTTCTTTCTATTGAAAGCATCTGTGATGCAGTTCTATTCTTTCTTTGTGTCTTTGTGTTAGGCTGAGTGCTCTTCAACCGCTGACTGTCGTGGCTTTTCTTACCCGTGGCGTTGGGAGGACACCTGTTGAAGGCCAGTTCCCCAGAGGGAGTTCTTCTCCACAGCATGGACACAGCATAATCCTCAGGGCATATTTCATAAGGAGCTATGGTTCAGGAATAAAAACTCACATTTAGACACTTTTAATTTATGTATTTTTTTTTTTTTGCAGATCGTTATTATTATTTCAATGATATTAGGAAGATGACAAATAATGGATGCTGATGGAGAATGAGGGAAATGGATCAGAATATAATGCAAGTCAATTGTAGTTTCACATTGCCCACATATAAATGCCACAACATTTTTGGTCATATAAATGCTGCATTATAATAAAAGGAAATAAAACTGTATTTCTAATGCACATATACAATTATAATTTTTAGTGTGAATATGATGCAAGCCAATTTTAATTTCACATTGCCTAAAGCCTATATATAAATTTCACATATGTTTTGGTCATATAATTGCTGCAATATAATATTAAAAAAGTAAAAAATATATTTTGAAAACTTATGTGCCTCTAATGCACATATACAATTATACTTTTTAGTATGAATATGATGCGAGCCAATTTTAATTTCACATTGCCCATATATAAATGCCACTATAAAAATGCAAATATACAATTATAATTTTTAGTTATAAAATGTATTTATAAAATATTGTATGTTATTATTATTATTATTATTATTATTATTATTATTATTAAATAATATTAACAATACAAAATCTTATATTATATTATATTATATTATTAAACTGGATTGTTTGTAACACCCAAATTATATTGAAAATCAAATTATAAACTGCAAATCATAAATATCTGGAAATTCCTTCTTAAAAATGTTTGTCAAGACATTCACGTTCCATCTATTTGACTGCAAAACTAATTTCAAGCATTTGAGATTATGGGAATGATAAATTCAGTCAACATTATGAGATTCTATAACTGTCCTTGTAACAAACCTATGCATGTATGAAAATGCATGTAGATGCATGAACAAAGCATCGTTTCCATGGAAATGGTTTCTAATAGATGAGAAAAGCATGACTTTATTTATGTGACATTAAATATCCATTACTCGTGAAAATTGTGTTGACCATTCCTCGCTGGAAAATACAATTATGGTATATGTTCATTATTTCTCACACGAATAATGATTCGGTGCAGAAAAAAGGACATGGATTTCTGAATGGAAAAGATAATTATCCTTGCATCCGTCTCTCATTCACCCCTCTCTGCCCATTCTGACATAATTGACTCTTGGGGTTCAATTATTTGCAGGTTACCTGGGCAACGCTGCTCGCTGCATCTGCGGACCTCCTCCCCGCTGCCATCACATGGCTGCCCCGTGACCGCCAGCCCCTGGCATACGCGCACCCTCCGCTGCCAACCACCGTCACAGGACTTAGAACACCCACTCCATGGAGCCCAAGCGTTCCACTGTCCGTTAGCTGAAAGACAGATACAGGCGTTGAACAAAATAGTGTGAACACCTACAGTAGAAAATGGGCAAAATGTATTTGTTGAAGTGTTTTACCACCATTTGCCTTTAATACAGCTTCCAACCTTCTTAGAATAGATTAATACAACGTTTGAACAGTGTCCAGTAGAATTTAATTTATCAGAACAAATGCCAGTTACTTCAGAATTGTTAGAGGACTGGGAATCAGCTTCTTTCTCTTTTCTCCAAAACTGGCCACAATAATTTAATAATAATTAAGTCAGGTATTGAGATGGCCAGGGTAGATGTTGAAATTAATCTTGGTGCTCCAGCTGCACAGATTTTATGATCATGACACTATCATTTTCGTATTTTAGCAGTGGTGTCTGTGATTAGAGTTTCCTTCGTGGATGGTAGCTTTGTAAAGTTCTCTATGGTCCGTTTTTGTGGAAACAGGGTCTTCAAGGTGAATATTGAGGTTTGCTGTCACTTGGCTGCAGTAGTTCTGTTCTGTTTGGACACAATCCTTCTAAATGGTCGATGGTTCCTATCATTCACCTTCACCCATTCATTTTTGCCCATTATTCTTCTTTGCTGATGAAATCTTGACATGCTTTTTGTACACAGTCAAAAAAAAATGTAAAGACTGTTGTTCTTAAAGGGGTCATATGATGCTATTTAAAGATCATTATTTTGTGTATTTGGTGTAACAGAAACCCTTTTTTTTTTTTTTTTTAAATAGCCTTTGTGCACAGCCTGCCTTGTACTCTTCTAGGTTCAAAAAACTGTCATCCATAAATGGATGCACAGCGTTGCACAAATTGGAACATCTGGGTTGTGCTGTTCTGTTGTAAATAAATCTTAACCAATGATTCCTAATTGCATCTACTTCCGGTAGGCCAAATAAAGTGCTTTTGCTTTCGCACTGAAACACAGCGTCTCCCTGACATGGCTGCATCAACACGACTGCTGTTCCTGACACCACGCCTTCTTTCTTTGCGTGCACATTTGGGCGGCATTATGCTAATATTTCCACAGTGATGTAGATATGTGGGGGCGTGTTAGAACGAGCCGTTTTAGGTAGGCATGGTTGACTCTTAACTTTTATAAAGAATATCTCTTTGGATTTGAGACTTTAGTCTTTGCAACTTTACAGATCTTCTTTATGCACCAAGAGCTTGTAACACTCCAAAGAGAAAGGAAAACTTGAAATCGCATCAAATGACCCCTTTAAAACATTATACACAATTGGGCCGTTAAGGTTACAGATGCTCCTGCTAAACAGGCTCCAATCATTTACCCTTTTTGTAAGTCTATCAAATCACCCATTTCATCCACGATTTATACTAAACACAGCTAGATCTAATATAAAGAATACAGATGCAAAGAGGTACAGTCACAGCATTCGTTTTAATGGCAGCCTACACAAATGATATTAACCTCTATAAGAATGGGTGTTCATATTTTGTCCAACCCCTGAACGTAGATGGTGTGCATCATCTTATTCTGTTCATCGTTTCTTACATTCCATCTCTTTCAAGCTCGACAATGACATTGCATCTTTATGTGGATGTGCACTCTTAAAAGTTATTCGAGCCATCTTCTGTGAAAGCTAAAGAATTCAGAGAAATACAGTGCGGAAACATTATAAAACACACTCGTTTGCAGAGAAGGGTTTGGCGCATTAAAAACCATCCAGTTTCTTGTCATGTTGACATGCTCTAGAGGCCAGAGATGCAATAAAACTAGACTTTTGGCAGAATTCGCTCTTGATTTAATTAATAAAATAATTACCACGACACTTGCAATGATCTGATATTAGTCTCTGCTTTACGAGCGTGAGGGTGCCCTGCAACTGGGATAATAATTTTCCTCACTTTGCCAGTCCTGAAACACATTTTATGGTAAAGTTTTAAAAGGCTTCAGGAAATTTTACGGGCATCTAATGAATGGAGTAAAATATTATTTCTTGCCATTGGAAAGGGAAAAACGAAAAAAAGACAGATGTTGCCCTCAGCTGTGCTATAAATCATGCATGAGAAAGGACATGTTCACCTGTAAACTAGCATTCAACTGTGCTGAATGTACACTAGTGTTCAAGGACACATTTACATTAACATTTAGACTATGTGGAGGCTGCTGGAATGTTACTCTGAAATCAATAAATACGGTCAAATCATATAAAAGCAATGATAGATACAGTATTTGACCTCTACGCAGCTTCATAAAAAAGCCTTTAATCAAGCCACCTCAATAAAAGGTGTCTTAATATCTGAACTTGTATAAGCATTCAAGCAAATAAATATTCTACCACTCAAAGGCAACAATTTATCATCTTTAGTCTATCTATTTTCACAGCTTCTCTTAAATGACCTTCAGATATACAGTGAACAGATTTGCATTTCTAATAAGAAGGTAAAGTTGACTATTTCACATGATTTTGACTTTATTTCTTGTAGTGTTGACTTTTTAGCTCACATTTTCACCTGCAACTCCCAAGTGAAATATATAGAAATTTTGACCCTTTTTGATAGTTTTGAAATGTCACATTGTGTGACTAAAAAATTATATTTTTTATTAAAGGGGTCATATGATGTTGCTAAAAGAACATTATTTTGTGTATTTGGTGTAATGAAATGTGTTTATGCGGTTTAAGGTTAAAAAAAACACATTATGTTCCACATACTGTACATTATTGTTTCTCCTCTATGCCCCGCCTTTCTGAAACGCGTCGATTTTTACAAAGCTCATCGGTCTGAAAAGCGAGGTGTGCTCTGATTGGTCAGCTATCCAGTGCGTTGTGATTGGCCGAATACCTCAAGCGTGTGACGGAAATGTTATGCCCCTTACCATATTGTGATGCCTTGTCCCGGCCGGAGCGACGAGACAAAAACATTAAAACCCATTATAAACGAGGCATTTGTTGCATCCAGTGGGGACATAATTACGGATTATAATGACTTATACTGTCTATTTACGCGTTGCATTGCATCGCGCCGCGCCATGTAAACATAAAACCATGTCTGCATTTGTGATCGGAGAAATGACAAACAACAAACGCTACTCTACACTGCTCAAAACTTGCATTTGAATCGTCAGTGGCAAATTCTTTAAATATAAAAAAACGTACTTACCGTCTGTGAGTCAGAACAGCCGGCATTAAGAGCTTGTAACACTCCAAAGAGAAAGGAAAAATTTAAATCGCATCATATGACCCCATTAAAAAGTAATATTGGTTTAAAAAAAATAAACAAATATAACTTTATTTCTTGTAGTTTTTACTTTTTATCTCACATTTTCACCTCATATATCAAAACTTCATCACAACATCACAGTTGATTACGTTTTGAATGCTGAATATTTTAACAATGTAAGTGATCTGAAATATATAGAAATAACATAGACATTTCAGATGTGAACACTGAAAAATAAATAGTTAATGTAACATTACATTTTTACCAATCTGATGCTCTGTGGTATAGGCACATGATAAACAAAACATTTTCCATTTTAACTTTGAAGCTTCAACATAGCGCGTCTCACCCTGTAAGCAGCTTCAAACTCACTGAGACTCTCTGTTATCATGAACCATGTAGAGCAAGAGTCTTACAGCTTACAAGCATCATGCTGAGGGGCCCCAGTGTGTTTTAAAGAAATACCTACCAGGCATACTGAGTATGCGCTCTCTAGCAAGACCCACTGCTATGGTCTATCAACACAGACTTAAGCTAATGCTCGACATACAGTATATAGAAGAGGCGTCTTTACTGTTGATATGATATCATACTGTAGTTAGCCTGGGGTTCAAAGAAATCAGTTTTTTGTCAAGAGAACTAGGGTGATGCTAACTTACGGGATGGCCTACAAAAATATGCAATCACTGAAGCGCTCTATAATAAATGTGTTCATCAAATAATTAATGGGGTTATTAAAACTGTCCTACTGCTAAAAGATATTTATCTTTTCTCCTTTTTGGATATCCAAGAGAGAAAACCCCTTTAAAAATACTGAAAGAAAAATATACACCTAGATTTCGCTTTGAGTTAATGAGATTTAGAAGGATCCTGAGTCGTACCTGTGCATTCAGGGTTGGAGCATTCTCTGCTCTCCGCCCAATGTCCTCTGCACTCAGATCCCCCATGAGCAGCCGCTGAGCACTGCCTCTTCCGCTGTTGCGTTCCGTTGGCACAGGTCACCGAGCAATCGCTCCACGCACTCCACTCCTGCCACTGCCCGTCCACTGTGGGCACCCATGCAGAACGCAAAAACAGCATCCCAAATGGAGAAGAGAAAACATTGAGAGAAGTAAGTTTCTGAAGCTGGGTTTGGAACATTTAGGTTTAGCATCTTCTGATTAAGTTGAATTTACCTGCCATATTGGCAGTACAATACATATTGGCATATATTGTCCTAATATAAGGTGAAGTGTGTACCAAATGGAATTGCAACCGTTTGTCTGGTCCTACTTAGCATAACACCTACTCAAATAATAGAGCATGTTGCTTGCAACAGGTCATGGGTTTGATTCCCAGAGAATGCATTAACTAATAAAATGTATACCTTTCAGTGCAAGCTGTGGGTAAAAACTTTTGCCATATGCATAAATGTAAATGTTTGAAAACATTAGTGGTGTTTTAGTACTTCATTTCCAGGGGTACAATTATTTTCTATGCAATGGTGCATGTGATTTTGGACATGGGTAAAGTAGCAACCACTTAGAACACCTTAACAACCTCATTGCAACATGCTAAAAATAAAAAAAGAACACCTAAGCAATCACATAGCAATGCTCTGGAAACTACCCACAACAATCTTGCATCATGGTGGTACCTTCTGCCCTGGCAAGAACCATTCATATTTTTTCTATAGATATGCAATAATCGAGTTTTATCTGGAATTCTGTTTGGAACAGAAATGACACATTTCACCTTTCAGGTTAACTTTGTCATATATGGAACATTTGCTTCTTTATAATTTCTGCTAGTATTGAAAAATTCACAATTATTTGAATACGAGTGCTTCAATTAGAATACAAACAGGATCAGGACAGATATGATATATGAAACAGAGAGAGAGAGAGAGAAGATTGCATACATTTGGAATTAGGGCTACTGTCAGCCTGAATAACCCAATTAGCCCCAGGGAAAGAGGTAATAACACTGCCTGAGTGCCTTAGATAGCTCACTAACTAGCCAACATGACCCAGTAAAAGCTACTCCTATAGTGAAAATGCTGGGCTTGTGGTTCGTTCCACTCTCAATCCAGAAGAAATCTGTTGAAAACAGTCGAGGCTTTTCATCACACCTGAGCTCTGAGGTCAACTTTAAAAGCCTCAGACCAAAATATGCAAGCCAGAATCTGGCAACAGCACAAGCTCTGGGTGAGCTGATGCTACAAAACACAACACAGAGGTGTTAAGTGGGGCTAATTGCTTCTTTTTTTTGTTGAATGGGATGAGACTTTTAAAGCATGAGACCAACAATAACCAAGATTAGACAATCTGTTACAGTACTTACCCATCTATAGTGTATAGAAACTCTAAGTGGCTATCATTCACAGTCAATTGTACTTATGTGATTTTTACTTTAGTTATGTGGTAGGTTGAGTCTGAAACGGTGTTTCTCTCAGCCTTGCAGGTTTTATTGCATGCCACATGTGGCTGCTTTCAACATGCCAAGAAGCCTTGTGAGCGCATCCATTCCCTCTCTGTCCCACGTAATAAACCATTCTGTAATTGATCCTGTAATGTTCCACCGCTGGCAGCTGCTGCTTACTCCCCAGAGCCACCTCCATGTGAGATGAGTTTTGATTCTTTATAGACGGGATCAAACATTGAGGGGCTTCCATGTCAGGCCTAATTCCACCAAATCATTCTCGGAGGACGGTGGATCACACAACCGCATCCAAATTAGTGGAGTGGTCTTCAATTTATAACAAAATTGATTACGGTTAGAGAATGGCTAGAAAAGCAAGAGGCTCAGGGGAACATGGAGGCATCAGATTCGGAAAAGAGAGAGAATGACTCCATAGAGAAGAGAGACAAGATGAGAAAAGAAGAGAAGACAAAAGGAAAGACAAGAGGAGAAGAAACAAGGAAAAGATGTGAGACAAGAAGAGAAAAGATATGATAGGAGATATGAGAGAATAGAACACGAAAGAAGAGAAGAGAAGAGAAGAGAAGAGAAGAGAAGGAGATATGAGCTGAGACAAGAAGAGAAGAGAGGACATGAAAAGAGAACCAGAGAAACAAAAGGAGAAAATGAGCTAACAGAGAAGAGCACTGAAGAGATATGAGATGAAAAAAAGAAAAGAGCACAAAGAATATGAGACGAGAAGAGACAAGATGAGAAGAGAAGAGCACAATTAAGACATGAAAGAGAAGAGAGGACAAGAAAACAGAACAGGAGAAGCAAAAGAAGACAACAGATGAGAAGAGCACAGCTGAGATAAAGCAAGAAGAGATGAGAAGATGCAAGATGAGAAAAGAAGAGCACAGACAAGATGAGACAAAATTAGATGAGAATAGAAGAGCACAGGTGATACAAGAGAATAGAAGATGAGATAAGACAAGAGTGGAAAAGAATAGAAGAGAACAATACAGAATGGAACAGAAAGTTAGAGACAAGAGGAGAAAAGGAAACAAGAGAACAGATAAGGTGAGGCGAGATGAGACATGAGGATGGGAGAAAGCAGTGCATCTGAAGCACACAGACCTGGGCAGAGGGCAATGTTGCAGAGTTTGCTCTGGGTCTCGGGTCCCTCACACGCTCTTCCTCCATGCTGGGGTGGAGTGCACATCCGAGCGCGGGTGCGATGACCCCGCCCACAGGTGAAAGAGCAGAGGCTCCATGGAGACCACTCTTCCCACACACCGTGCACTGCCAACAGAGGACAAGACTTAAGACACATACACACTGCTCACGGCATGCACACACACCCCCACACGCAGCCTCATTCAAATGCAGCAGTGAAACACCTCCAGCACCGACTCAGCGAGCCTGTTTATCAACAGCTGTTACACAGCCGCAATGAATCAAAACAACTGCATCATTTCCCCTTTTCTTTACAATTTACCTTTCCCAATCCCATACCACTACACCCCCATCCCGAGCACCACGGCTGATGACATTCTTTTGTCTTAGCGTGATGAAAGACGCGCCAGGAGGGCTGCCGAGGCCGTGCTGAATTCGTCTCAGCTCTCTTAGCTTACTTATCAAAGTCCCAGTGTCACAAACCGGCAAGAGACAAGAGGAGTTCAGGTAAACAGAGGGGTTTATTGTCAATGCTGTGATGGTTAGGATCGAAGGCAGGGGAGTAAGAGAGATATGAGAGAGTTGTAGTAGGAATCCTGGAGATGAACCGGGGCTGAGGAGAATCGGAATAGCGGAGACTGAATGGACTTCTGGAGGTAAGGAAACAACAGTTAGTAAAGCTTGTAAGGAGTCTGGAAATGTTCGGGTAGTGAACGGTAGACCGGACACTGGAATGCTGAGTGGAGTGAGAAGATATAGCGGGCTTAATTGGGATTGGGGTGATTGGGATCTGGTGTGTGTCGGAGGAGGTGGCTGTGCTGACGTGAGTGATTGCGATGATTTCTTGACATTACCCCCTCCTCCAGGGGTGGCTCCTGATGCCCCCATGCGGCGACGAGGGCGACCGCGACTTCGGGGTGCGGGACGGTTTGGATGGTTGCGGTGGAATTCTTCCAGCAGGGATGGATCCAGTATGTCGTCGCGGGCCACCCAGGACCTCTCCTCCGGTCCGTATCCTTCCCAGTCAATAAGATATTGTAACCGGCCGCCCTGTCGAATTCAGGATTTCTTTCACTTGGTACACCGAGGGCTGATCCAGAACCTCAGGAGGGGGGGGTGCTTCTGGCTCGGTGGATCTGGAGGAGGAGGAAGAACAAGGTTTGAGGAGTGAGACGTGGAATGAGGGGTGAATTTTGTACCTGGGTGGAAGTTGCAGAAGGTAGGTGACTTGGTTGATCTGCCTCTGTATTGGGAACGGACCAATATAGCGGGGACTCAGCTTTTTACAGGGCAGGCGGAGGCGCAGATCCCGGGTGGACAGCCAAACCAGCTCTCCAGGCTGGTAGGTGGGAGTAGCGGTACGCCGGGCATCTGCGAAGAACTTATGCCTCCGCACTGCTTGTTGGAGCTGGAC